GCTGTGGGGCCTTAGGACTTCTTTTGGATGTTCTGGGTCTCTCTGACCCAGCTGCAGTTTGTTAGGTAATTTTAGATTATAAAGGGCCAGGCCATTCATATGCAAAAGCCTCTGTGCACAGCTTGGGTCCGGCAGAGTCTCGGGGAATCAACAGGGCAGAGCAAACAGCTATGGCTGATCCTCAACCCTGCCCTAAGAGGTCCTGGATCTCAGTGGCCCACAGTAATCGCTGCAAGCACCTCTGAGAGAAAGCCACCCTCGAGTTCCGACCGATGCCAGACAGTCCAGTTTCTCCCCCCATGAATCTGGGTCCCCAGAGACTCACCTGGAACAGAGCAGTCGGGAGCTTGAGACTCCCTCCTGATTGAAAAAGACAACTGTGTCCTCAGTTGCCAGCCCTTTCCACGTGAGCCTCCATACCTCTGCATTTTACTTCCACACCTCCTCTGAGTCTCAGTGTGCTTTACTCTTTCCTTCTAGTTGTAGAATTTCCACTCAGCCAGCCTTTCTGTGGTTCTGGATAATGTCCGTTTTGTCTTTTAGTTGTATTTTTGAAGTGGTTGTGTGAGGCAGCAATTTCCGGTGTTTACCTATGCCACCATCTTGGTTTTTCCAGGCACCTTTCTATGTTACTCAGATATTACTGTGCATGTGTCTAAACTGCCTTTGTCCAGCCCCTTCCCCCATCAATCAGTAGGAAACAGACTTGAAGAGTGTTAAACTGTAGCTTTTTGCCAAAGCTATATAAATGGCATGCCTATATTATCTGGTCTCCTCATTACTCCTTCCCTGTTAAATAATAACCAGGTTATTACAATGGTGCCAATACCACACACACATGATATAGTTTACAGAAGGACCCTAAATCACTAAGGCATTTCTTTCTTTCCCTTTAACAGCTTGCTGAGGTGTGATTTGTGTACAATTTACTCACTGTCAGTATACTGTTCCTTGATTTTTAGTAAATATACACAATTGTATAAAAGCAATCTATTTTGGAATGCTTTTACACTGAAGAATTTTAAATTGACACCAGGGAGAAAATATTTAGAAAGACCAATGATTTCTTAGCAAAATGATGATCAATAAAAGAAAAAATCTCACCTCTATTATTTTAAACTCATAGTTTCTAGGAACAAATGCTCTAGACAAAAACTGTCTGCAAAAATGAAAATAATTATTTTTGCAAAATAAATGAAAATGTACATACCGGTTATTTATTGTGGTTTTGCTTGTATTAGCAAAAGATTGAAAGCAAATCTAATCAGCTGAGGGTAAATAGAATGTGGCACTTCTACCGAAGGAAATTCCATGGAGCTGAAAACAGAGCAAGGACACCCTTAAGTGACGTGTGAGGAAAAATCTCTGGGACAAATGGGAGAGGCACATATTGAGTGGAAAATCACTCTTATTTTCATAAAGAAACAATGAAAGAATATACAAGAAATTAATAAAACAAATTAATAAAAAATATGGTAGTTGGTAAAACAAATTAATAAAAAATATGGTAGTTGGTAACAGCAAAATAAGATGGATAGGGGCAAGAGTGGAAGTTAGTCTTCATTGGATACTGTTTTCTGTTGTTTTCAGCTATATGAATCTATTGCCTACTAAAAAAATTAATGTTTTAATATAGTAAATTAAGTTGAACATATTTGTGGGCCTCTCTCTATTCTACAGATTTGGCTGGAAAAACAGAACTGGAACAATGTCAAGTTGATGCTATTGTGGACACATTGGATGATTTCATGTCACGGTTTCCTTGGGCTGAGAAAAAACAAGATATAAAAGTAATGTGATCAGTTTGCTATTACTGTTATTAATCAGATCCACTTTGTCAAACACGATGTTAGATGCGTTTTTAAGTCCCTTTTTATCAGAGTTAGACAAACCTATAGTTTAAAAATGTCAAATTATATTAAAAAGTTTAAAACAAAGTACAGCAATTCTCTGCCCTACCCTTTTCACAATAACCCCTAAGATACAACCCTCTTTTTAACCCTTTCAACTGTTGCTTTAGGATTTTCACATCTCCATATATCTATCCTATACTAATAAAAGACAATCATACAAATTGACCGTACTTTTGCTATGCCTTAAGCCATGCTCACCAGCCAATCAGAGCGACTATATGCAAATTAACCCAACCAAGATGGCGGCCAGCAGCCAAGGAGCTGGAGTGAGCAGGAGGCTTGCTTGCTCCAGTGATGGAGGAAGCCAAGGTTCCCCAACTGCCGCAGCCCAGCTCTGAGCTCCACTGAAAGCAACAAAGTTTCAATTATAGAAGGTAAACAAACCCCAGATACTTGCTTTCAGCCAGCCGTGGCCACGGAGCTGGAAGGAGCAGGAGTGAGTTGCCCCTGGCGATGGAGGAAGTCAAGCTTTCTGCAGGTCTCCGCTAAAGGCAACAAAGTTTCAATTATAGAAGGTAAATAAATCCCAGATACCTGCTTCTGGCCTTAGGGGTCCCACACTGCAAGAGGGCATAGGCTGGGCTGAGAGACCCCCCCCCCCGAGTGCACAAATTTTGGTGCACCGGGCCTCTAGTAGGATATATAAAAGTGGCTTACTTTGACTCATTTTAGATTCTATGGACATCTTAGTATAGTACAGTAATAAGAATTTAACTCTTAACCCAGCCAGTGTGCTTAGTGGTTGAGTGTCAACTATGAACCATGTGGTCACTGTTGTTTCCAGGTCAAGTCATATGCTTGGGTTGTAGGCTTGATCCCCATTGTGGGGCATGCAGGAGGCAGCCAATCAATGATTCTCTCTCATCGTTGATGTTTCTATCTCTCTCTCCCTCTCCCTTCCTCTCTGAAATCAATAAAAATATATTTTAAAGAATAATAATTTAACTCTTACATAATCATCCTCTCTGCTTCTTGTAAACTCCCCCAATATAAATAATAAAAAACATTTTGTTAATCAGTATTTGGTGACTACATTAGTATGCCCATGTAAACATTATACAAAACTGTGCATTGTGGTATAGTTTTTGAAAAATATTTTTATTGATTTCAGAAAGGAAGGGAGAGGGAGAGAGAGATAGAAACATCAATGATGAGAATCACTGATTGGCCACCTCCTGCACACCCCCTACTGGGGCCTGAGCCCACAACCTGGGAATGTGCCCTGACCGGTAGTTGAACAGTGACTTCCTGGTTCATAGGTCGATGCTCAACCACTGAGCCATGCTGGCCAGGCCATAGAACACTTTGATAATATTTCCTTTCTCCCTTTTCCTCTTCAAAGTTAGTAATTGTCTTTTTGCATTTGCTTTATTCTTGTTAAACCTTCCCACACTATCCTATAACCTACTAGTATAGTTTTCCACAGTGCCAATGACATAATAATCCATTATTCCCATTATTTTCTCGTCGATATCTGGCCAGAGCCTCCCATTGTCCTCTGTAGAGCTGACTAGGTTTTCTGCATGGCTGTCATACTTCCCTTCACTGCCATCTAAGGGTTGTCTTCCTTTTGAGTTGGGGTCCTGTCTCTTGGATGCCATCCTCTGTCTTTATTTCCTCCTTTGTTTATTTGGGGCACATATTCCCATTCCAAAAATGAAAATGAAGGCTTGATGACAGGAGATATGGCAGCAGACGGTATGGCTATGTCCCTCTTTTGTGTCTCTGGTTTGGTTGCCCTAGACACCCAGTGCACAGTTGTCCCATCCTGAGATCTTTATCATCTTGGATGCTTCATTCAGTGCTTTTCTGGGCCCATTCTCCTGGTTTCTGTCCTTGTTTTTGTGGCACAATCCTCTAATAGCTTACTGAGCATAGGAAAAGGTTTGGGGCCTAATATGTCTAAAAATGTTTCTATTTCATTTTGATACTTGATTCAAACTTTGGCTGGATATAAAATTCTTGTAATTTTTCTTTAGTATTTGAAAAACATTTATCTATGGTCTCCTAGCTGTTGAGAAGTCTGAATCCAATCTAATTACCAACCTTTTCTATGTGACTTTTTTTCCTCTAAAGCTTTTTGTTTCACATGACAAAGACCCCACTGATTGGCAGTCTGTCAACTTATGGGCTTGCCCTTATCTCTTTCTCTATTTGGTACCCTTCTGTGGCCAAGTCACAGAGGAAAATGTTCTTTGAGTGTTTATGATAAGGTTATCTTTTGTATGAGAATAACAATGTTCTTACCACCTACCTCAAAAAAAAATTTCACAGGATGCTATCCAAGCTCATGAATAAATTATATGAAGGGAGAACGTGTTTCAGAAATATTGCAAATAGCTAGAGACTGTCTGATTAATAAGCAGAACCTGGCTAATATACAATGAAAACTGCATAGTTCTTTTGTATTTCATCCCTAGTTTCCTTGTAGTGAGCTGTACTGCTGCCACCTTGTGGTCACATAAAATTTTCAACAGCAGAATATTGCAGATGGATGATGAAGATCTCTTATTCCATGTGCTTTAAAAAACCTATCAAATACACATAATTACAAATGTTTTAGCACTGGTTGCTGGTAATTCAATTTACAATTTTAAAAAATTAATTTAAATTTAATTTAAAAGACAAAATATGTATCTGGACATTGGTCACCCTGATAATCCTTGCTTGATCCTACCACTAGCATTTCTGTAAGCGGCAGAAGAACTCACACTCTTATTTAAAACTATGGATATATTAACCACAGAGAGAGAACTTTATGTACCAAAGTGGTATAGACCAGTATAGAATATAAAATCAAAATAATGATAAGATATCCACCTTTAATTTGTAGAATCTGGAAAAATATATATATATATATAATGACTAGAAGCCTGGTGCACAAAATTCATGCACGGGTAGGGGGCTCCATCAGCCCGGCCTGCACCCTCTCACAATCCAGGACCGCTGGCTCCTAACCGCTCACTTGCCTGCCTGTGTGATCACCCCTACTGGCGCCCCTGCTAGCCTGATCAACCCAAACCACCTCTGGCTGCTGGACTGGTTGCCCCTAATGCCCCTCACCTGCAAGCATGGTTGCCCCTAGCTGCCCCCAACAGCTTGGTAGGATATATAAAAGTGGCTTACTTTGACTCATTTTAGATTCTATGGACATCTTAGTATAGTACAGTAATAAGAATTTAACTCTTAACCCAGCCAGTGTGCTTAGTGGTTGAGTGTCAACTATGAACCATGTGGTCACTGTTGTTTCCAGGTCAAGTCATATGCTTGGGTTGTAGGCTTGATCCCCATGCTGGGGCAGGCAGGAGGCAGCCAATCAATGATTCTCTCTCATCGTTGATGTTTCTATCTCTCTCTCCCTCTCCCTCTCCCTTCCTCTCTGAAATCAATAAAAATATATTTTAAAGAATAATAATTTAACTCTTACATAATCATCCTCTCTGCTTCTTGTAAACTCCCAATATAATTATAATAAAAAACATTTTGTTAATCAGTATTTGGTGACTACATTAGTATGCCCATGTAAACATTATACAAAACTGTGCATTGTGGTATAGTTTTTGAAAAATATTTTTATTGATTTCAGAAAGGAAGGGAGAGGGAGAGAGAGATAGAAACATCAATGATGAGAATCACTGATTGGCCACCTCCTGCACACCCCCTACTGGGGCCTGAGCCCACAACCTGGGAATGTGCCCTGACCGGTAGTTGAACAGTGACTTCCTGGTTCATAGGTCGATGCTCAACCACTGAGCCATGCTGGCCAGGCCATAGAACACTTTGATAATATTTCCTTTCTCCCTTTTGC